ACCACAACAAGGTGACATTAAGACGGCTACGAATCTATCGATTACGCCCAAATGAGTAGAATCGTTTCCAAAACGTTTTGTTCTGAAAAATAAACAAGACGGGGATTTTAGATAAAGAGAGGACGATGGATAATAACATAATATTCGTATTAATGTAACATCGTCACAACATTTTAGATCTTATTAATACGGGTCTTAAGAAAATAAGCTGTGAGGGTATGAGTTAGATGGATCAAGACCAGGACGTGGGCATTTGACCACTTTCTGGAGATGGTGACGAAATTATGTTTTTTTTTATTACTAGTGGGGTGGGACTAAATCCATTTTACTGCGACCCCTTCTGGCCTATTTTACCAGACCCAGATGATAGGTGAGGGTGGAGCAATTGGTGGAATGAAGATTGGCAGGGGAAACCGAGGTACTCGGTGAAAACCTGCCCCAGCGCCACTTTGTCCGCCACAGACCCGGGATCGAACCCGGGCCGCCGCGGTGGGAAGCCAGCGACTAACCGCTTGAGCTATGGCACGGCCAAATTCTGGGTTACGTACTGACATAGAAGGTCCGTTTACCTTAAACAGGGCGATGATGGGTTGGGTTATGCTACGTTAAGGTGAACGTCGTGGCACAGTGGGGTGAGCTACTCACTGTTACAGACAAATGTTCGGCTCTGTGCTGTGGGTGTACTGCAGTCGATGTTCAGAATAATAATAATTTAAGTGCTGTACTGCTGGATCCTGTTGCCCGCCACGTATCTGCATGTGAGACGGCGAAAGAATTGATAATAATTTAAGGGTGATTATCTTGAGGGTTGTACTCCAAGAACAGCGCAGTTTTTCCGTTTCTGGGAGCTCTTTCCTCATTTCCATCTTGGTCCGTGGCTACGAACTGTTTGAGCTGTATCTCCACTCCTCCATACGCCTTCATGGTAGGGTGGTTAATTTAGCACAGGGACAACTTTACCTCTGCCTTATCAAGTTTCAGCAGGTTTGTGTATTTTAATGTAATTTGAAAATAGTCGCTAAGAGATTAAGGAACCAAAATATATCTATCGAAGGCTATATACGCCCTTATAAAACTGGCCTTTAAAATGTTTCCAGATAGCTCGACAAAATTATGTTTAGGCCTGCGTCCAGCATACAGCGTACAAATCGATCCTATTGTTTGGGTGGTAATGCTTGCGGGGAGACATGACAAAAGTAATACATGGTTTATATTCTGCACTTTTTAAACAAAAACATAATAAATGTTATGTCTGGGTGTCACTATGGTTAAATTTTTGAACCGTTACCAGGTCGGGGCGCGGCTTGTTTTGCTCTGCAGACCAACGGAGAGAATCGAACGCGATGCCTCGCGCATGCCGGTGCAACTGTGCCCTGGAGCACGAACATGCGGGAACACATTTCTGTTCAGGGTTGCTGAGCGTTGTGCGGGCGTCTCCAGCTTGCAGGCGGCATCTGAAGTACAGATCTTCGAGTGATCCTTCCGACTAAGCTAGCTGACTACTTAGTTACTCAACCAAAATACCGTACATAGCTCAAGTCCGAAACTGTCACATTTTCGAAGTATTCGCTAGTTTAACAATTTGTGTATTGTGAGTCTGGCCTGCATTCTGTGACGAGACGTGACTATACAGGAACTTAGATTTATGTGTTTTTATTTCAGGCCTTTTCCTTACCAGAGCCAAAGAGGGTGTCTTTGTATATCTTCATGACATTAATGTTTTCGCCCAGCAAGTTAACACGAGCACAGGATAGAAGCCGAGGCATTCCATTCAGCTTCATTCCCTCCCGCTCATCTCGGGCCTTCCTCGTAGCAAACTCGAAAAGCAATGATGACAAGGATTCCCCTTGTTTCACATAATTCTGATTACAAGACGCATAATGAAAAAAATTACCTCTATGGATTTCATTATAGGCTTCCTTTAAATACATCTCAGTGCTCTAGAACGTTTTAAGGATACATCGAATTGAACGAGAATGGTGCACATTATGCATGTTCTTCTCCTAATTGAATCGTTTGGTTTCCACACGTTTATACAAAACTGGTAAAACAGGCAAAACTATCCCTGTAACAGGCCGTGGAGGCCCATAGGGTTGTGAGACGTCGAGGCTCCCACATTTTCTAGACAATCGGCTCATAGATGGCGGTAAGGTTGTCAGCCTTACGTGTCGGCAACCATTTACCCCCAGAAAGATTCCTGGTACTCATTTCTGTTACAGTCTGTGTCGACCCCACGGCTATAGTGTGACTGGAAGGATTAAGTAAACTGAAAAATCCAATGACCTCACCGGGACTCGAACCCGCGACCTTCCGGCTTGTAGTATAGTGCCTTAACCAAATGCGCTATTGCGTTTGATTTATGTACGGCCGATCAATGATATTATCAGTAGCTCATACTACGTATATAGCGTCACGTGATAACATGATTAGTGAATAACGCACTCCAAACACTGTGGGCGGGTGTGTTGGGGAGCAATTTAAGTTACTTCTCGGTATCCCGGCACATACCTGGATAAACTGAGGAAAATCACGAAAAACGCCAGTCGATACGATTTCTCGTGTATACCCACTACACCCACTCATCTCCGACATGCGGTATAAACTGGTCACGAGTTGTCTCGTTGCAGGCTTACTCCTATTCTACTCCGCTACCTGGACAAAGCAGAATATCTCATCAGTCCTTCATTTATTTACGCTGAAATCCACAGTGATGAGTCCCGGTAATTTCGCCAACATACGGAAAAGAGATAAAAGTCCGTGATGACAGCGATATTCGTTCGCAATTATTACAGTCCGTTTTATTGCCCCTTTATGAACAGGCACAACAGATATTCTCTCTCTTCTTTCTTCCAAGCAGAATTAATACGTTTCTGGATCTCGCAACGTAATGTTTCACATCCTGCTAGAATTTAATCAATGTCTGGTGATTTATACCTATGAACTGTTCAATATAAATCTCAAGACCGGGAAGAACGTGGCTTAGTCCTAACGGCTCAATTCCAGGCTGCCTACATCGTTAAGCCCACGTATATTCAGCAGCTAGCAGAAGTAATCCTTCAACATATTTAACATGCTGTGCCGGTCTGAGGTATGAACTGTCTTCGCTCGCTCGAAGGCTGGGATCGTAGATTCGAATCCCACTCAAGGCATGGATGTTTGTGTGTGCGGTAATTCTGTGTTTGTGTTGTCCTGTGTTTAGGTAGCGGCCTCTTGCGACGGGCTGATGACTTCTTAGGAGTCCTACCGTCTGTGGAAAGTAATTTTTTTTCCCTTGGCACTACAGCCCCAGTGGGCCTACGCCTACCTCCATGAACTCCGTTCACTTTCGGTTTTTCTAGAGCTTACACATTCGGTAGGACTCCTTGGGCGAGTGATCAGCTCGTCGCAAGGCCTCTACCTGTAGACAAACACAGAAAAACGCACACACACAAACTAAACATCCATGACCTGAGTGGGATTCGAACCCACGATCCCGGTTTCCAAGCGAGTGAAGACAGTGCATGCATTAGACGGCTCGGCTACCGTGACCGGCGTGAAAACTAATTACGGGGCTGAATAACAGGCCTGGGCCCTCAATGGGCTGGAAGCCCAACTGAAAAAAAATACTGTGGGAATCTGCAAGCATATCATCGCTCTCATCTCCTCCCATGCGAATTCTAGGTTGGTAAGCCTGTACAGAAATAATGTTTTTGCTCTTACCCTCTGTTTGAAACTAATTATTTTTTCTCTCTTGAATGCTTAAGTTTTTGTTCATGATGAGTCTACTAGCTGCACGTTTTACAAGAAACTGATAACGAAAATGCTGTTATTTATTTAAACCACTACTTCCTATTAATTCCGCAAATTCGTTGGTATCGGCACCGACAATGATTATGAAGGCCTTTTCGGTGTATTACAACGTACAAACTTTTCAAAGCGTTTATGGAAGCTGAAACGTGACCCTATATATAAACGTACCGTGATATATCTATAGTTGCTTGTTCTAGGCCTATTCAGAATAACTCAGCCTTACACAACTTACAAATAAGAAATAGTTTAATTGGACATTTCAAATTAGCGCACGCTTCACGTTCGGGACACCCCACTGCACACACGTAACCAGGGCACTCGCGGATTACAGCGCCACGCGGTATAAGGCATGAACTGTCGTCGTCCGCTCGAACACTGGTGTCCTGGGTTCGAAAGTCACTCAAGGCATGGATGTACATGTGCACTTATTCTGTGTATTATTCTGTGCGTAGACAGCGACCTTGTTACGGGCTGATCCCCCGTCCAAGGAGTCCTACCGACTGTGTATAGGATTAAGAAACTCGAAAATCGGCTAAGGCCCAACAAAGTGGCTGTTAATAATAATAATAATAATAATAATAATAATAATAATAATAATTTACTTACTTACTCATGG